ACGGGCACTCACATCACTCCGGTCTGAAATCACACTGTCTGGCTCGGCCGACGGTTGGCGGCAATCCGACGCACACAGCTGCAAGTTTGTCCATTGGTTTGCGGCCATTTCGTCTGGCCTCCGACGACTTTGGTGCCGGAGAGCCGATCCCACCGGCGTCATCGTCTGTCTGCGACTCTGGAGCCGATCGAGCCTCCGGATTCGGCAGCTGCGCTGAAGTCGACGAGGCGAACTGGCCAGAATCCCGAGTCAACTTCCTCGGCAGACTGGCCAAGATGACCGGACCCAATGTTCTCCAGACACCACGAAGTGGACTGACGCTGACCGAACGAAACTGTCAGCCAAATCCGAGTCTGCGCTCTCTCCACTTCCTCCAGTATCATCCGCATCATTCTCATCCGCTTCCGCATCCACACCTACACCCATACCAACACCAGCATCAGCACCACATACACCTCAGTCATCTCCATCACGCCCAACAGTCTCATCCGCCGGCCAGTGGTCAAAATCCCCACAAGCAAGTGGATCCAACCAACGGTGCTCGAACAAACTGCAATTTGGTTACCGGTTCGGTCAACAGCTCACCTCCAGAGGTTCTGACCAACGGGGACAGTTGCATTGCCCACCAACAGGAGGTTCATATCTGTTCAGACGGCCATATCCCTTTTCATCCGTCACACTCAGCTCCAGTCAACTCCAGCATCCCCTTCCTCTCTTCGTTCCATCCTCCTCTATCGCAGCCTCCTCCTCCTCCTCCCTCCCATAATCCTGCTCACTCTCCATCCCTTCTTATTCCTCCTCACGCTCCCTCCTTCCCACCTCCTACCTTGGCTTTTGCTCAACCCCCGTCTTCATCAGCACATACTCATTTCCATCAAATGGTCCAAGCTTACCTCCAGCATCAGCTCCCTACTCAGCTTCAAACTCAGCCCAACCACAGTCTCTTCGCTGAAAGTCAAGCTTCAAATGCCTTTATGAATTACCAACACCTTCTGCACCAGACCATAACGATGGCCTCGCAGCCACGTCAATTGCCGAGTGAGTTTAACTGTATGCATTTCTCACCAGCTCCCGGGAATTTCAGCACTTTCTTAACTAATCATTTCTTGGACTCACTTACAATTCATGTATGAAGACCAAAATGTTGTGGCCTCTAATTTGGTCGCAATCTTCGTTCTTTGCATAGAGGAGGTTTAGCCTCGTTCTCCCAATTTGGTTATCTTGTCAGGATTACATAAATGATAATTTCAAGACTCGAACCGTCGACTTCTGTGTCTTGCCAGATTTACCACTAAACTACAAATCGTCAGGACCACCAGGGAAATCAAATATTTCATAAGCTTTCTACAAACTAGCCTCATATATCACTTCTTCTCTATTATTAATCTAGAAGTGTGCCTTTTTTGTGGTTTAAGTGAGGCTTTATCATTCTTCAGGCTGGTTTAATTTATTTGCCACCTCTTTTGGTGTGCCTGAATCGAGGCACAGACTTGGGCCTGCAAAACCAATTTATTCCATTTTTCGTATATAAGCAGAGTTTCTATACTACTAGCAAATAAGTTATATGAGATGTATTCACCTTATTTCGTTTACGGTGATGATGGAATGGTAGTGGAATTTTCCCACAATGCTATGAGTAGAGCCGGCGCTTCCGTTGAATTTCACATAGCCTTGCTTTCCCAAAAGTTGTTCTCATCCAAGGTCCAACCTTGGCTATGTCATATCAATATTTCCAACGGGAATCAAACCGTGAAATTGCAGAATGTGAGCTTAGCACGTTAATCATTCAGCCACATTGCCCCGAGTGCCATTGGGACACAGGGCAGATGTGAATTTCAACGAAGGCCAGGTTTTTCCATATCACATTCTTTGGTGTGAATGTTGATAAAGCAAACGTATCTATGCTATAACAATCGACTACATCAATTATTTTCCGCATATAAACAGAGTATCGAGACTACAAGTAAATCAGATATATGAGAATTATTCACACTCCCAGTCCTTCATCACCTTAAACTAAATAGGGTAAATACATCTCATATAACTGGTTTACTGGTAGTCTCGAAACTATGCTCGTATAAGAGAAATAAGTAGTATAGTTTACTGTTATTGCAAAAATACGTTTGCTTCATCGACAATCCCAATACAGATTCTGATATGGAAATTGACATAAGCCCTGTGACTCAAGGACACAGTGCAATGTGGCTGAGTGGTTACCACGTCAAGCTCACATGCTGCATTGTCAAGGTTAGACATCGATGGGGGTGTGAATAAGACCTAGCCGAGGTAAAAACTGCAGTCCACCCTGGATGATAACAACTTTTGGAAAAGCAAGGCTGTGAAATTCAATGGAAACGTCAGCTCTACTCATATCGTTGTGGGATAATTATACTTACAGTTCTTCATCACCTTAAACGAAATAGTGTAAATAAATTAAAT